GTAAGAACAACATGTACAGTTAGTGTCCTGGAGATCAATATCACAGCAGTGCCCTCTAGTGGCGGGAGATATTTATTACAGCACTTACATGAGTAGTGTATTTAAGTAACAGAGCTCTTACTTCAGTAAAAGTTTGGGTTACTCCCAATGTCAGTAAATGTGGTAACAAAGGTGCAAGTAATGAAAACTTTATGTTGTATAATAAATGAAAAGGTAGTTTAAAAATACTGTATTATTTGTTTTCCTTCCAAAAGACATTTACAATTAGCAGATTAGCAGGTTCCTCAAATAAGTGTTTGAACTTCAAGTTTGTAATTCTACTGATATAACAGAAATCTTACTTGAGTAAAGGTTTGAGTTACTCCTAGTGTAACGAACGTGCAAGTAATGAAAACGTTAGTGTTGCCAGTGACAGTAACAAAAAGGTAAGTTAGTAAGTTTTTTATTTATAGCACTTTTCACAGACATTTGTCAAAAAGACACTTTACACAGCATTATTCATTCACTGCACACACTGTGGTGATAAGCTACTTTTGCAGCCACAACTGCCCTGGGACTGACTGACTGAAGAGAGGCTGCGAATCAAGCACCAACAACACACACACACAGACACACCCCGAAACACACACACACACACACAGACACACCCCGACACACACAGACACACCCCGACACACACAGACAGACACACAGACACAGACAGACAGACACACACACACACAAAGACACACACAGACACACACAGAGGCACACCCCGACACACACACACAGACACACCCCGACACACACACACAGACACACCCGACACACAGACAGACACACACACACAGAGACACCCCGCCACACACACACAGACACACCCTGACACACACACACACACAGACATACCCCGACACACACACACAGACACACCCTGACACACACACACAGACATACCCCGACACACACACACAGACAGACACACACTCACAGAGACACACACAGACACACACCACTTTCACACTAGGCAGTGTGGTTGAAGTGTCTTGCATAAGGACACAATGACAGTTATTGTGAGTGGCACCCCCCTGTGGCACCTGATTTTCCCAGTGTTCGCCCATCCAAGTCCTGACCAGGCCTGGTCCTGCTGAGCTTCTGACATCTGACAGGATCATGGCTTTGACAAACTGACATGACCACAAAGAACAGTAGTTTAACAACTCAGATTTTTGTGCATTATTTTATCTTTTTTTTTCTCCTTCCAATAGACACTTACACATAACATATTAGCAGTGTTGGGGAGTAACAGATTACATGTACCACCGTTACGTAATCAGAGTACAAATTATGAGTAACTGTATTCGGTTACAGTTACTGTTTCAATTAGTGGTAATTGGATTACTGTTTTCACATTTTGTGCTACATCCCATTTATTTATTTTATTTTATTTCAGTACTTCCACTCATTGCCTGAAACCCAAACAGAACGTGACAGTAAGAGTGATGTAAACGTCATGTTAAAGTTGACAGTGTCAGTCACACAATGGAAGCAGGCGTCTCGTGCGCCGCGTGTGGATGGTGTTTTCTCGTGTAAACCGCGCTTTCTCCTGTGCACCTCTAAACCAGAACTAACACCAGGACTAAACCAGGACTAAAACCAGGACTAAAACCAGGTCTAAACAACATGACATCTAACAGTAGGTTGACATAATTTAAGGTGATTTCATATAAAAAATAATTTCTCTATCAATAATATTTTTTAATATGGTTAAGGAAAGGTTTCTCTTGTTACTGTCTTTTAACAGACAAAACCTCTTATGTTCAGATATCGTGGTCTTTGTTTCTCTACAGCAAACAGTTGCTTGTTCATGGACAATTTGAAGAGAACAAACAAGAATTTTCAGGATGTGGTTGCTACATTCATGTCGTTTAAAAAAACATGACAATATCAAGTAATCCAAAGTAATCAGATTACGTAATTTAATGGATTACGTTTACAAACTACATTTTGGGGTATGTAATCTGTAATCTGTAGGGGAATACATTTTAAAAGTCACCTTCCCAACACTGCATATTAGCAGGTACCTCAAATAATTTCTTGAACTTCAACGTTGTTTTTCTACTGATGTAACAGTAATTCTATGTGAATAAACTTTTTGACTACTCAACCCCATGATCATCCTTCAAGTTAAAAGTAGTTTATAGTGTTTTAAACCACAATGACAAATGATTTGAAATGTAACGATTGTATTTACAATGTCATGGAATTATATAGAACTATACTAAATGACAAGTATCAGCACAGGTTTAAAATGTACTCCAAAAAAAGATCTACTCAATTACAGTGACATGATTAACATTCCAGACAAAGCACTAACATCTCCAAGAAGGGTCAGTCCACCTCAGTTCACCCAATGAGTTAAAAACTACTTTGTCAAATTCTGATGAAACTTGGTTCGTTGGTAAATCATAGCCAGAAAAGCCAAAGTTTCAAATTTTTGTTTGATCGTGATCAACAGCTTCCGCGATATCGCAATTAAATTTTTTCACATTTTTGCATCGCAGCTGAATTTCAAATTGCATTTACTCAGCAACTACTGTCCAATATCAAAAACCTAGGTGTCTCTGGAAAGAGGAAATCATAAGGAATCCAAATTTGAAATCTATTATTTTTGCAGTTGAGTATTTTTGAGAAGAATGACCTTTTGACCTGTTTTTTGATCTTGAAATTGACAATAAGGGACACGCCCGACTTCAATGACACCAATAGAAAAAATGTAGTCCTATACGTCTACTACAACATATAAAACATCTCATGGGGTTTTCTTTTTTATTTTCACACTAATTTACCTAGAAACTGACTTACCCCCATTTTAAGATGTGCGAAATGTCCATTCAGTGTATACGGCTGAACATTTATACACACAGAGTCCAAGTTAATATACTCTAAGAAAAATTGTCAATCATACAGGACCAAAAGTCACTGAAAATTTTACAACAGGATATTTAGTCCTTATCTGCAGGACAGTTCAAACAGTGGTTAGAAATTCTGGACAGGTCATTATGCAAAATGTTGTAGTTTCTTGTTGAAGATGATTTCAAGAAAGTAGTGTTTATCACAGGAATGTACGTCTGAATCAGGTATCCAACAAGGATCATCTTTGGACGGCCAGTAGAAGGTCTTGACTGGTCCATAGGGTGCATGAACTTTATCTTATAGTCACCAAATTCTTCTGAGGCCTCCTCCACCAGACCAGTCCATGGGAGGTTATCAGGTCTAACAATAAGAGGGATATCGGCAGGGGCTTCGTGTTCAACTTCATCACTCATGTGTCCTTGATGAAATGCAGCCAAATCAGAGGGTTTGTCTGTTCACTGAGTTTATACACATGCATATGTGTCAGGGAAGACAAGGACAAAACGATGGTACTGTAATGTTCCTTTGATTGTCAGCCGTATGCACTGAAAATAACTTGAAACTGATAAAAGCAATAATAAATTAAAATTTACTGAAAATGGTCCCATGTAAATCAAACATTACTTTTCACCTGTGGTTCAACAGAATCATTAGAAAAAACAAAATAATGAAACTGCCCTTGACAAAAATGATGGTTCCCTTAACTTAATATTTTGTGACACAACCTTTTAAGGCAAACTCTGCAAACAAATGATTTCTGTAACTGTCAGTGAGACTTCTGCACTGATCAACACGTATTTTGAGCCACTTCTGATGAGATGTTCAGTAGGATTGAGATCTGGGCTCACAGAAGAACACTCCAGAACAGTCCAATGTTTTGTTCGTAGTCATTCTTGGATGTTTTTCGCTGTGTGTTTTGGTTCATTATCCTGTTGGAAGACCCATGACCTATGACTAACACCAAACTTTCTGACACTAGGCGACACATTTCATTCCAAAATACTTTGACAGTTTTGAGATTTCGTTTTATCTTGCACAGATTCAAGACCCTGTGCCAGATGCAGCAAAACAGCCCCAGAACAAAACCAAACCTCCTCCGTGCTTCACAGTAGGGACAGTGTTCTTTTCTTGGTCTGGTTCATTTCTGCGTCTGTGAACATAGAGCTGATGTGTCTTGCCAAAGAGCTCCAGTTTTATCTCATCTGTCCAAAGAACATTCTCCCAGAAGCTTTGTGGTTTGTCAATCTTCACTGTGACAAATTCCAGTCTCACTTTTTTATGATTTACTTTCAACAGTGGTGTCCTCACATGAAGTCCACTTTGGCTCAAACACTGATGGATGGTGTGATCTGACACTCATGTACTTTGCCCTTCAAGTTCTCATTTAATTTGTTTGGAGGTTGTTCTGAGCTCTTTGGTTCCATTCTCCATGATCCATCTCTTCAATTTGTCATAAATTTTCCTCTTGCAGCCGTGTACAGGGACGTTGGCTTCAGACCTGTGGACCTTAAACTTCTGAAGAACATGTGTAACTCTAATCACAGGAACATCAAACAGCTCGGAGATGGTCTTAATGTCTTTATCTTTAACCTTGCTTGTCTATCATTTTCTTTCTAGTCTCCTGACACAGTTCTTCTCTTTCTCTGGTCCATGTTCAGTGTTGTGTCCATCATGTCTCCAAATTTTTGTCAATTTTTGTTCATAAATTTTTATTTTTTTTAAATAATTCTGTTGAACAACAATTCAAAAACAGTGTCAGATTTTCATTGGTTATTTTCAGGAAATTTGTATTTATTATTGCTTTTCTTTTCAAGTTTCAAGTTATTTCAGTGAAAATTGTTTATTTGTCTTTCATTACCAGAGGGGTATATAATATGATGTGTGAGTTACTGTGTCTAAGTCATTTCTCTTGTGGATCAATAAAGTTTGTCTAAGAAAAGAAGAAGCAACTCGAGTAACTTTTTTAATAAAATTGTAAAGTTGTTTTCAGACACCATACACATCTGAAAGACTTACTTGAGTAAAGGGTTTGGTGACACTTCCAAATGTGATTTTGTTTGCACATGTTAAAAGCTTTATGTTTACAATATGAAATAAACAATATAATGTTTTAAATGTTAAATTTTATTTATTTATTCTTTTTTCAATTACATCAACTTATGTAATTCCAAACGGCAACTCTTACAATTAGCCTTTTCTTAATTGATTTGCAGGTTCCTCAAATGATTTCTTGGACCCGGCTTTGTACTTAAAAAATGTGTAAAAATTGTGAAATGTGGACTTCTCAACCCACCTCTGGCTATTATCACCCTCCACCAAATTAAAGCTACATTTACTGAGCTATAGGAGAACACAGAGACAATGAAACATCCTGGAGCTCTAAGGAACCGGACGTGTCTTCAGGCTGATGGACTTCACAGAGTAGTTGTACCCTTTCCATGTTTTCCACTCTATTCCAATAGCAAAGATACTGGGATCAAGGCCCCAGCGGTAAATGCCGTTGGGGTTGGAGAAGTGGCAGCTGTCGTACCAGAAAGCTCCAAGGTAAAGTTTGGCACAGTTCTTTTCGAAATTATCCTGGTCGTTGTCGAACGTGGTGAACTTCTGGTTGTTGTGGTAACTCAGACTATCACCTGCGGAAATATGAAGACTGGGTTATTTGTGTTTTATTTATCTCATCACAAACAATAAGTGTGTTTACATGCACTTGAGTATCTCGACTATGAGTTGGTGGGTGGGTGGTTGGAAATGCGGGACTGTTTTTAATCACGGTAAAGCACTTTGTGTTGCATTTTATATGAAAAGTGCTTTATAAATAAAGTTTGATTTGATTTGAAATGCGATCGAGTCCGAGAAGAGTACTAAGACACGGCGATCTACCCACACGACCTTGGCGATCGACTGGTAGATCGCGATCGATGTATTGGACACCCCTGTATTAAACAGTAGACTGCTTTGTTTAAGTATAAAATGTTATTACGTTAAAAGTCATGGTTGGAGTTTGAGTCATTTTGGGAAAATGGCAAAGGAGAAATCCAATTTGTCCAGTTGACAAATTGAATTTCTCCTTTGCCATGGATTCTACCTGGACAGCTGAGGGATTTTACACTCATTACTACTACTCAAGTAACTGCTCCTTCTGTTTTAGTTACTTTAGTTTGCACATGCTCAGTACAGCACCAGTTTTGATAGATCAGGATACATGCCACAGTATTTTGGATACTGAGAGAAAAATCCAGTGAGAGGATCCTGGTTTCTCAACACTGGGATACTGCCTTATCCAGGAGACTGAAACCAGGAGACTCTGTTTCCACGGACACTCACATAACTCAACTTAACACAAACTCAACTCAAAAAACTCTGAACTGACCTGCTCCTCCATCAACAAACCCAGACACGTTGAGTTTGTATCCGTTACAATCGCCTTCAACAGAGAAGGACGTGTAAAGAGCAGATGCTTTCTTCCCGTCAAAATCCTCCATCTCCACCAGAAGCTCATGTTTGCCTCTAGCTGTGATCTTATGGATGAACTCCAGACCTGTACAAAAATGTCAGTGATGTAACATCAACTTTTAGAACAACAAAAGCATGACTGTTTTTCTTACCCAGCCAGTATTCTCCATCAGCTTTACCAAACCCCATCACATACGGTTCCCAGCCTCTGTAGAAGTTCACTGTACCATCCATCCTCCTCTGGATCACCTGAGGACACAGTGAGATGACATGCTGGGGTGTTTGTGGGCAAATCAGTTATTTTGAATCCTCAGAAATATATACAGACCATTTCAAAAACTTAGAATATAATGAATTTATAATTAGAATGAATGAATTTTTGTTACTCATTTCAGAAAGTCAAACTACTACATACTAATATACACACACACACACACACACACACGTCTGAATATGGAGTTTTAATAACATTATCTACTATGTTATTAGGTTCTTTTTTTTCAGACCTAGAGTGTTATTTCATACCTGACAGTTTGGACTGCTCACTAGCGTCTTCCTCAGTGTCACGTGATGTTGCTGTGACGTGTCTGGTCAGCTGATTTAAACAGGTTTTGGCGCTGTCTTCCTACCGGTGGAGGCAGGACGACAGCGCCATCTGCAGTCCAACTTCCTCAGGACAGTATCCCAGGTGTGACCAGACACGTCACAGCAACATCACATGACCACTCTGAGGAAGACGCTAGTGAGCAGTCCAAACTGTCAGGTATGAAATAACACTCTAGGTCTGAAAAAAAGAACCTAATAACATAGAATATCGGAAGACCAAATGAATCTCATTGGAGCATTATCTACTGTTTGTAGTTGTGTAAATTGAATAAATTTACCCTGATTACAGCCACGTGTTTCATATAACACCTTTCTGCAGGGGCAGAGTTTGAAATATATTTACCTGTTAAGGCCTATTCATACTTCATAAGAACATATGAACTTTGTTCTTGCACCCAGCACTGGCCCAACAAAATGATATCATTTTGTTGGGCCAGCTCCCGTTGGGCAGTTCTAGTGGCTTGTTCTCAACAGCTCAGCTGAGCAGAACTTTGTTCAGCAGTGCTGTACAACATCTTTGCTCTGAATGGTTATTTATGATGACGCGGTGTATCTGCTTCCTTGCCGGTGCGGAGCAAGAATAAAAATTGATGATTTTGAGTCACAGCTGGAGGAAATGGTGAGAAAATACAAACATCGGTATGACACAATTATAAAAACAGCCGAATGGCAAGAAATTCATTAGCGAGATCGTGGACATTTTAGGCTCAGATGAAAAACAGTGTAGAAAACTCTGTGACAAGTTTGCAAAATCCAAAAGGTGGGTCACCAAAAAGAAAGAGCAGTAAGGCTGGAGGATGAAAAAAAAAAAACCCCAAAAACCTATAAACCTCCCTGCAGTCGCTGGACTTCTTCATCAAATGTGTTTGATGAAGAAATAGCGCGAATAGGACAATGTGAGATGTGTGTGAATGAAAGGGACGTTACAATAAACAGGATTATAAATTACTTAATATCTTACATGTCTTTAATAACAACAGCAGAGTGAGGGGGCGGGGCAGTTTGGCAGCAGAACATCTTTTGAAGTATAAAATGTCAGAGCCCAAACAAACTTTGTTCTTGTTCTTATCACCTCAAGTCTCACTCTCCCCTTTTAATTCCTCCAGACTCTGCCCAGTTTAGCAGCTGTATCTGAAATGTGGTTGTGGGCGGGGTTTAGGTGTTCAGAAGGTCCGTCATTCGTCTTTAGTCTTCAGTTGAAATACTCACTGACCAGCCTCCTCCGTTTGTTTCCATGTCACAGTAGACCTAAATAAAGAAGAAGCTCATTAATACACATTCTGAAACATGTTTATGTGAAAGATTTTCTTTTTTCCATTTACTTTGCATCATCGAATAACCTCAAACTATTTTCCGTTATGTTGGCTTAACTTTCACCACCTGATTGTCTCCATGGAGATGTTATTGCTTTGCCTGGAATGTTCCGCAGTTCATTATTTAACACATGTATCTCAGTTAAGACAAGTAGATGACAGCACCAGGACACGTTACAGCTCTGTGGAAAAGTCATAAGGCGGCAAGTTTTTTGGTCACATCTCCATGGAAACAAGCCTGAGGTGGAATATGTATGAATGTAATTTGATTGACAACCTAACAGCCAATAGAAAATGAGGGAGCCTTGTTTTCTATTGGCTGATGTTTATCTGGCCTCACTACGTCCACAGTTGATAGATTTTCATTCTTTTTTTTTTTTTTTTGGTCATCATAATTACAAGACTGCTGTGTCTCTGTAATGGTATTTTAAACTTGAAACAAAACCAAAAAAAAAAAATCCTCCATACAACCTTTAAGGGGACACACTACAGGCAAATGTTTACAGTTTTAGTTTTTAGTCAGTTTGGTCTCTCAACATACAAAGTTTCATGTGGAACAACAAAACCGTAAAGATATTTTATTATTGGAATAAATCTACTTGAATCCATAGATCTATATGGGACATTGTTTTCTTATAATGCATTTCCCCCACAGGAACATGACCATCAGCCCTTAAATACTCACAACTCTCCACTCTTGGATGTAAGCAGATTCTGATGGATTGTGACAGAAGGATTTGTTGATTTCTAATTTCAAGTCTGATTTATACAAGATTAAACTAAATGCAAGCTCTCCAAAATCCCAGAACGAATGAAGCAGTAAATTTAAACCTATCTCTACTAAAACTAAAAGCAGCAGTTAACTTAACAGAAAACTGCCACTTCATGACATCATAAGGTGGAAGAGAGCATTTTGAGCTTTGGAGCTGTACAGTAATAATAATCGATTACTGAAACGTGTGAATCAAACAAAATACAACTTCAGGTATGTGAAGGTATCCTGCTCTCCTGCGACTCTGGTAACATCAACATCCTCATCCTCCTGGACCTCACTGCCGCTTTTGACACCATCGATCACTCCATCCTCCTCTCCCGCCTGCAAACCATCTTCAACATCACTGACAGCGCCCTCTCCTGGTTCACCTCATACCTCACCGACAGACACCAATTCATCCATGTCAACCACTGCAAGTCCCCCTCTGCCGCGCTTACTCAAGGAGTTCCCCAAGGTTCAGTTCTCGGCCCCCTCCTCTTCATCCTCTACATCCTCCCCCTCGGTCACATAATTCGCCGCCATGGCCTCCAGTTCCATTGTTTCGCTGATGACATCCAACTCTTACCTGTCCACCAAACCCATAACCCCGGCCACACATTCCACCCTCACAAACTGCAACTCCGAAATAAAGTCCTGGCTACAATCAAACTTCCTCCAAATCAACTGCAACAAAACTGAAATAATCATTATCGGCCCCAAAACACTAACCAGAACTCACAATAACTTCACCCTCTCCATTGATGGCTCCTCAGTCCCCTCCTCCTCCCACCTCCGTAACCTCGGCATCCTCTTTGACCAGACCCTTTCCTTTGAACGCCACGTCAAACACGTCACCAAAACCGCCTTCTATCACCTCCAGAACATCGCTCGCCTCCGCCCATCCCTCTCCCCTCAGTCTGCTGAAACCTTCATTCACGCTGTTGTCACCTCCCGACTCGACTACTGCAATAGCTGCTCTACGGTTCACCCTCCAAACTCCTCAACAGACTCCAGTACATCCAGAACTCAGCTACCCGCCTCCTTACCCGCACCTCCTCCCGTGAACACATCGCCCCTGTCCTCAGAGATCTCCACCCCCTCCCCATCCCCCAGCGCATCCAGTTCAAACTCCTCACCACTGTGTATAAGTCCCTCCACAACCTTTTCCCCACCTGCCTCGCTGAGCTGCTCCACCACCACACCCCTGCCCGTGCCCTCCATAAGACCTGGGGGGACCGGGCCTTCCCCGCTGCTGCCCCCACCCTCTGGAACTCCCTGCCCAAATACATCAGAGACTCATCCGCACTCCCCATGTTTAAAAAAGCCCTGAAAACCCATCTCTTAAAAAAAAAAACAACTGACTGATTAACTGTCTTTTTCTCTTGTTCGTCATTGTTTGTCTTCTCATGTAAAGCGTCTTTGGGTATCTTGAAAAGTACTATTCAAGTGTTCTATATTATTATTATTATTATTATTATTATTATTATTATTATTTATTATTATTATCATCAAGAGCACCAACTTTAAAGGATAAACTTACTGCAGAGAAAAAGATATTCTTTCCTAAAGCGGTTGGTACGTTTCAGTGTGGTGACTGTAACCATTGTGCCCATATCAAGAAATGCACATCTTTTAAAGACCACAAAAACTTTACATGTTGCCATTTTGCAAGTTATAATACTATACATGTTGTCTATCGTCTGGACTGTAGCTGTGAGTGATTCTATATAGCGCGGAACAAAAAGGAGACTCAAGGATCGATTTTGTGAACATAAAAACTCCATTAAAATATTACTATTGTTTTCCCTGTAATGCCACATTACTGCTTTACAGCAAAAAGCAATGTATTACAGTAATTAGTTACTTTTGTAACGCATTACTCCCAACACTGCTGACACATCACTAATTTTAAGTGAGCCTTTTGGGACGGCCTGTGTGCCGTTCTTGTGTTTGTGTTATGGGACTAACCCCATTAGTCAGTTTAAAAGTGTGACAGAAAAATGCCTTTATGCTTTAACATTACACTTTAAACGGTCCACTATGTAACTTTTCTGCCCCCTGCTTGTCACCATGGAGTTCTGTCTTATTAGAATCAAAAAGAAGAGAGGAAAATTGTGTATTCTCATACGGAAGCTGCAGGGGGAGCTCTGTGACTGAAAGTGAGTTCTGCTTTAAAGTGCTCTGAGGTAATTCCAGTCACTTTAACTTCTTAGGTTCTTTTTAAAGACAATGCAGTAAAGTGTATTTACCTTGTTGACATGTTTGGGCTGCAAATTGCAAGTCATCTTCAGAACTGTCACCAGTGTTGGTGGTGACGTGTCGTATATCAGCTGTTGTTTCTTCCTGTAGGCGTGGTCAGACCTGATGGACCTGGCAGGTCGCTCAGACTGACCACGCCTCCCGTCGCTCGGTGTTCTCTGGAGGAGGGTGTCCCAGGTGTGTGAAAGGAGGAACGCTCTGTCATCACGGTTAATGCTGTCCGTGCCTCGTTTCCTGATTTCAGTGGCCTCCTTGATCCAGTGTTTGAACTTGTTGTTTTCTGATCCAATGACCCGAGCCCCGTCCCAATCCATAATGTGGTTAGCTGATGTACGACACGTCACCACCAACACCAGTGACAGTTCTGAAGATGACTTGCAGCAGCAGCCCAAACATGTCAACAAGGTAAATACACTTTACTGTATTGTCTTTAGAAAGAACCCGAGAAGTTAAAGTACATAAGAAAACAAAATGAACATCTTTGGCTTAGTAATTCCAGTCACGTTGATTGATTGAAAAGTACATTTACCATCACAGGAAATGTTGGTAAAAATGGATAGATGGTGTACACTCCACTGGCACTTCCTGGGTTCTGTTTCAGGATTTGGCTGCAGTCCACAGGTTTGTCGTCCGCTCTGCTGCATGTCAACAGAGGAGCCACAAACATCAGCACGAGCACGGCCTGAAACCAAAAAAACATCTGTAGTTTGATTTATTTACAAAACATTTGACACTTTCTTTAGGTTTCAAATTTTACTTCCTGGTTGGAAATCATGACAGGACACACTGGAACATAACTGTTACCTAGCAACCATAATGTAGAGTAGGGCTGTGCAAAAACACTGAAATATCGATATCGTATAGTTTAATGTGATGATACAGTATTGATATATCACCAAGAGTATTTTTTGGTATATTTTACTAAATCATTTTGTTACAGAGCTACAGTTTTGTTACATGTTCAGAGCAGTCCTGCTCCCGCCCGCTTCTGTGATATTTTGGCTACGTTCAGACTGCAGGGCTTAATGCTCAATTCTGATTTATTTTGTGAAATCTGATGTTTTTACGAGGTTGTTCACATTTCCAGTTAAATGTGACTTGTATGTGACTCCAGTGTGAACATTAAACGGCCCAAAAGTGTCCCACATGTGACACTGGAGGACATGACAATGTCATGAGACGGAGCCAAGAGTGGTGAGTGGTGATGTGCTTCACTTCAGTGACACGGAGTTCATTAACAATTTTCATATGAAGAGAAAAACGTTTGTGTACATTTGTGAGCGCCTACTTGTGCCACTCTTGCAGGAGGAAACACATCTTCGGCGGCTTATTTCTGTGAGAAAACGCGTCGGCATTGGGCTGTATTGGCTCTTGCAACAGGTGCTTGTTACCGCACAATAGCCAAGTCCACCGTGTGATAACGTGTAGGTGGATGAATGCGCTTTGGTCGTTCAGACTGAAGTCACATGTCAAAAGATCAGATATGTATCGGTTTTAGGAGCACATATCCAAGTGTCCTGGGTGGCATTTGAAAAAATCGGGTCTGTGTTGTTCCGACTGTCATTAAAAGATCAGACAACATAGGGGCCAAAACATCTGATTTGGGTCACTTCAGTCTGCAGTCTGAACGTAGTCTTTGTCACGCTCCCGCCCACAAATCCCACAAACTGGGGATGTTCACTTTCTTCAGCTCTATCAAACACGGAGAAGTGGAAAGGAATTGTGTAAAATGTGTGTAAGGTTAGATCATATCCGTAAATTAGGCTGTTTAAAATCTTTTTATTAATGCCAAATCAAATATTCAGCACAAATGATGTATGACAGGCACACATGGATCATTTGTATATTTTACTTTACTCTCATATTTAGTTTGTGGGACTGTAGTTCGTGTTGTGTAGTCCCACTTCCACCCACGCCCACAATGAGCTTTCAAAACGTGTCCCACGTGTGTCAGGCCCCGCGGGTGCAGGGCTCTAGTTCAGAGGAAGGAAATTTGTTTATGCGACGCATTTGACATTTTTATTACTGTTTTGATGATTAGAATGTTTGTGTTTCATATGAACTTTGCACAAGAAGTGGTTTAACAAAGACTTTTACAGTAACAGTATTATAACCTGACTCAAAGCTCACAAGAGTCTGTTTTGTGTAACATAGGAGCTTTACACTGTTTTCTTTGTACTTACCGTCATTGTAGATCACGATTTCCAACTCACAAGAGCCTCTCAGACCAGAAGGTTTTGTCACCGTAAATCTAATGGAACATTCAGATATAATCAGTGTTGGGGAGTAACAGATTACATGTACCAGAGTAAAGTAATCAAAGTACAAATTATGAAGTAACTATATTCAGTTACAGTTACTGTTTCAATCAGTGGTAATTGGATTACAGTTACTTTGTTGAATGGATTACAGGGCGGTATTTTCCTGTTTTCACATTATGGGCTATATCCCCAGGTCTAAACTGGATCTAAACTATATCTAAACCAGGTCTAAACTAGGACTAAACCAGGACTAAACCAGGTCTAAACCAGGACTAAACCAGGTCTAAACCAGGTCTAAACTAGGACTAAACCAGGACTAAACCAGGACTAAACCAGGTCTAAACCAGGTCTAAACCAGGACTAAACTAGGACTAAACCAGGACTAAACCAGGTCTAAACCAGGTCTAAACTAGGACTAAACCAGGTCTAAACCAGGTCTAAACTAGGACTAAACCAGGTCTAAACCAGGACTAAACCAGGACTAAACCAGGTCTAAACCAGATTTAAACCAGAACTAAACCAGGTCTAAACCAAGACTAAACCAGAACTAAACCAGGTCTAAACCAGGTCTAAACCAGAACTAAACCAGAACTAAACCAGGACTAAACCAGGTCTAAACCAGGTCTAAACCAGGTCTAAACCAGGTCTAAACCAGGACTAAACCAGGACTAAACCAGGTCTAAACCAGATCTAAACCAGGATTAAACCAGGTCTAAACCAAGACTAAACCAGAACTAAACCAGGTCTAAACCAGGTCTAAACAGAACTAAACCAGGTCTAAACTAGATCTAAATCAGGTCTAAATCAGGTCTAAACCAGGATTAAACCAGGTCTAAACCAGGACTAAACCAGGTCTAAACCAGGACTAAACCAGGACTAAAACCAGGTCTAAACTAGATCTAAACCAGGTCTAAACCAGGATTTAACAGGACTAAATCATGCTGTGTGGACGTGTCTCCTCTTCTTCTATCAATAATATTTTTTAATTTGGTTCAGTAAAGTCTGGGCTTTTTATTTTCTTTTATCAGACAAAACATCTTATGTTACGATTTCCTCGTCTTTGCTTCTCTACAGCAAATCAAGTAATCCAAAGTATTCAGATTACATTACTCACTTTAAGTAACTTAATGGATTCCGTTACAAACTACATTTTGGGATATGTAATCTGTAATCTGTAGGGGAATACATTTTAAAAGTAATCTTCCCAACACTGGATATAATTTAGAAACACAATTCAGCCTCTTACAACAAATAATGAGATTTGACGATGAAGGTAAAAAAAAAAGGTCTTACCAGCTCTGTTCCTCAAAGCTTCTGGAGCTCTTCAAAACTTCTGTCACTTTTATACAGCTCAGACACACTGCTTCTCAACTGAACGACAGATTGAATTTCATATCATAATTAAACCCTGATAAAAGTTCACAAAACACGTAAATATAACTGTGTCATTCTCAGAAACTTCCAGGACAACCTAAGATGACCCATGAATCAAACTGTATCATATTTATAGGTATCAAATAATGTGTAATTTAACCTCAGCCAGACTAAACGGACAAAAGGAAAAGACAAAAACAGCCTGACTTTATTTGATTAGTTATCTATAGTCATCATCAGTATTCATTGAACTATTCATGTACGTTCTTTTGTCAAACCACTTATCTCCAAGGAGCATTTTCTGAATCTTTTGAGTCAGAGTTATCTCCCAAAATCTTCTCCACCCTTAATTTTGGACATCTATTCATGATCTTCAGTCTTAAAAGAACGAGTACAATGGAAAGTTTATCCATTTTGACCAGTAGAAAACAAGTAACCATGAACATACTTTTCAATAGTTGTTGTTTTTTGGGCTCTGATCCAATACGATACTTGACATCACTGTACTTAGACTTACTGATATCGGTTACAAATCCGATATCCAGTGTTGGGGACTAACAGATTACATGTACCGGAGTTATGTAATCAGAGTACAAATTATGAGTAACTGTATTCAGTTACAGTTACTGTTTCAGTGAGTGGTAATTGGATTACAGTTACTTTGTTGAAATGGATTACACAGCGGTATTTTCCTGTTTTTACATTTTGGGCTAAACCAGGACTAAAACCAGGACTAAACCAGGTAAATTAGGACTAAACTGGAATAAACCAGGTCTAAATCAGGACTAAATCAGGACTAAACGGTCTAAACCAGGACTAAATCAGGACTAAAACCAGGTCTAAACAAGGACTAAATCAGGACTAAAACCAGGAATAAACTAGGACTAAAACAGGTCTAAACAATATGACACTAAGACTACGTTCAGACTGCAGGGTTTAACGCTCAATTCAGATTTTTTTGTGAAATTCGATGTTTTTGCGAGGTCGTTCACATTTCCAATTAAATGTGACTTGTATGTGACTCCAGTGTGAACATTAAACGGCCCAAAAGTGTCCTGCATGTGACACTGGAGACACGACGACATCAACCGCAGCGAGCGTCTCTGTGTTTACAGAAGTTGTCCAAACATGGACGCAGCATCGAGCACCTGGAGATTTTAAAGTTCCTCTCGTACCGGAGCCAGAACATGAACAACTTACTTGTTTTAAGGAGGAGATTGAGAAGGAGAAGGACGAGGTTTTTGGTCGTGGTGTTTTGTGGGACAGTCTGTTGAAAGGAACGTGTGGATGTGGAGACGGAGCCAAGAGTGGTGAGTGGTGATGTACTTCACTTCATTAACAATTTTCACCTACTTCAGAGCAGAATAGTGATGTTTGTGGCTTGTTGATAACATGTAGGTGGATGAATGCACTTTGGCCGTTCAGACTGAAGTCACATGTCAGAAGATCAGATATGTATCAGTTTCAGGAGCACATATCCAAGTGTCCTGGGTCACATTTGGAAAAGTCGGATCTGTGTGTTCAGACTGTCATTAAAAGATCAGATACAGGAACATAAGGGCCAAAAAATCGGATTTGGGTCACTTCAGGCTGCAGTGTGAATGCAGCCAAAGTTCCTCCAGCTCCTCTGGTGGGACACTGAGGTGTTTCCAGGCCCCCTGAGAGCCCAGGCGTGTCCTGGGTCGTCCCCGGGGCCTCCTCCACCCTCCTCAGCCTGTCTCTAAAGGAGTGCCCAGCCTCTTTGTGGAGGAGAATCATTTTGACCACTTGTAGCCGTGATCTTGTAAGTTTGTTCATTATCTAAAGCTCGTGACCATATATGAGGGGAGAAATGTAGATCGACTGATAAATCTAGAGCTTTGCCTTTTTCACCACAACAGTCTGACCACAGTGACCATATCACTGCAGACGCTGCACACATCCACCTGTCCCACACTTATGGCCCCTGGCTGCACCTAGGAAAATAAAATAAAACATATGAACTTAACATAAACCCAATGAACAGAACTGGTGACAAAGAGTCCAACATGAACTGGGTGTTTACATTGATTTAACACAGCTCCTGCTCCAGACTCCAGACTCCCAGAGCGCCCCCCACAGGACACCACCAGGGACACTTCCCAGGCTCATGGTGGGACAGGCTTTAGGATGGTGGCCTGATCTTATACTATCAGTTCAGTTAGACAAATTACCTGATATTACATACATTTGGGTCCGGTCAAGCGGTAACAGAGGGAAACGGGTAGATTTTTGACATTCAAATGTCTCTTATTCAGAAACTAGAGGGACTATTGAAATAAGTAAAGTATCAGAATGTAGGAAAGAGTTACACTCCAACAGGGTCAAGTTAAACCTGTGATATTCTTTCAAGTTGTTGACAAAAAATTTAAAAACTCATGTCGGTAACGAAGGGAATGAAATATGCAGCACTTTTTGGACAATAAATCCAAACAGTGATAACTCTGGGTTCTCACTTACATATCCTTAACAAACTGGTTTGAATATTTGCTTCATATAGTTTTCTACCATATGGTACAAGATTACTCAAAAAGTAAGAGGTTTTTCAACCTAATGAGATTTTTTATTAAGAAAGGTCATGGTAACGGAGGGAAAATTGTGCAAGTAGAAGGTGCATGATTCTACATCATTTATCAGCTTTTTTCTTCCGAATACTTTAATATTACTTCAAAATGAAAAGAAACTATTTCTATAAAATATGTCAGTCCTTCCAAGCTAATTTTTATCATTTTAAATACTTAAAAAAAATAAAATAAATCATGTGCCTTCATCAACAGTTCAAAGATGGAATAACACAAGATATGATGAAATACATCCATTTATTGACATGATTTGCAGGTCTTTGAAATTTGGGAAATAATTTTTGTTCCATGTTTCATACATGGTCTGTTTAAAACATATGGAACTTTAGAACCAAAAATGGTACAGAAAAAAGGTCAACAGTTTCATAAACTAGAGTACATATGTATCTGTTCAATACATTTTTATATCAGATGCATTAACTTGAATTTTTGGCCTTGATGTTTACTTCTGCTTGACCGGGCCCATTTATATAATTTATGTCTCATTTGACATCAGTCTCTTGCTTTTTCTTATTGCTGTTTACTTAGAAGTTTATTACCATGTTTTATTGTTTTTACTCTTTGTTATTGTAATTTATTGTGAGCTACTGTGTCTACGTCATTTCATTTGTGGATGAATAAAGTTTGTCTAAGTTTATATTACACAATAATGACTCTTATGAGCTTTAAGTCATGTTAGAATGTTGTTCTCTCTTCAAAATCAGACCTGGAGTTGTGTTTTGTTCCACTCACACATGTTTGATTAACACATTATTAGTCTGTCTCCAAAGTTCAAAATGTACCGTTCCACCTTGTGATGTCATGCAGTTGTAGTTAACAGCTCCTTTCACCTTTACTTCAGTAGAGATGATCAATTTCAGAGCTGAAATCATCCAGATGATTCTAGTTGTGTGAAATTTAACAATACAGTAGATCACTTCCTGTTTTACCACATGACATCACAAGGTGAAACAGAATCTTGAGTTTAGGGAGAAGAACTCAGCCTGTTTCTACAGAATTTATGTGTTGGAGACAGCCAGCTTAATAACGCAGTGTTACTCAAACATGAATGAAACAAAACACAAGTCCAGGTCTGTTTGTGATGAGAAAACAACATTAGAACATAGATGAGAAAATATCGTGATATATAACCCGTTTAATCTTCATCTTTTCCCCGATGATGATGCAGTATTGTTATGCACTGACCTTTACACAGTGTTGGGAAGGTGACTTTTAAAATGTATTCCCCTACAGATTACAGATTACATACACCAAAATGTAGTTTGTAACATAATCCATTAAATTACTTAAAGTGAGTAACGTAATCTGAATACTTTGGATTACTTGATTTGCTGTAGCGAAACAAAGACGAGGAAATCGTAACATAAGATGTTTTTGTCTGCTAAAAGAAAATGAAAAGCCCAAACTTTACTGAACCAAATTAAAAATATTATTGATAGGATTTAACTGCTGCATGGACTGTGTCTCCTCTTCTTCTGTTTTAGTCCTGGTTTTAGTCCTGGTTTAGTGCTGCTTTTAGACTTGGTTTAGTCCTAGTATAGTCCAAGTTTAGACCTGGTTTTAGTCCTGGTTTAATTCTGGTTTAGTCCTGGTTTAGTCTTGGTTTAGTCCTGGTTTAGTTTCCAGCAATGAGTGGAATTACAAAAAAAAAAAAAAAAAAAAAAAAAAAGGGGGATATAGCCCAAAATGTGAAAACAGGAAAATCCCGCTGTGTAATCCATTTATTTCAACAAAGTAACTGTAATCCAATTACCACTCATGGAAACAGTAACTGTAACTGAATACAGTTACTCATAATTTGTACTCTGATTACTTAACGCCGGTACATGTAATCTGTTACTCCTCAACACTGCCTTTACAATACCTCCATCTAGTGTTCAAACGTCGTAACTGCGTCCTGTATCACTTAGCTGAAAAGGCTATTACGGGCTGTATGTTGTACTGAACATGCGATTTGAACATGTTTAAATGACAAATGAGCCGATCTGAATGCGTCAGTTTGGGTGGTAAAGTCAGCGGGTCAAAGAGTGTGTGTGCGTAACGAACCGTCCTGTCCAGCGTCACGGAAACGGCCTCGTGCCACTTTAATCCACGGATGGACTCGTAATAAGACAATATAATATGCTAATAACGCAATCATTGTATTCAGTGATAATAATAAATTACAGACCGACAGCCCGGATCACATGGTTCACGCCTCTCGGGTCACGTGGTCCGTTTCCATAGTCACGTCACTCTCATCTCGGGACTCTCTAAAATCCAGGCATTTCGCTCGGGGGCGGGCTTTGGCGCACATCACTCACGTTTGCTTTCTGTTTGGACTCAGAACCGTGAGCGGCTTCATTCACAGTGTTGGGGAGTAACAGATTACATGTACCAGCGTTACGTAATCAGAGTACAAATGATGAGTAACTGTATTCAGTTACAGCTACTGTTTCAGTGAGTGGTAATTGGATTACAGTTACTTTGTTGAACAAATGGCGGTATTTTCCTGTTTTTCATTTTGGGCTAAACCAGGACTAAACCAGGTCTAAACCAGGACTAAACCAGGTTTAAATCAGGACTAAACCATGTCTAAACCAGGACTAAACCAGGACTAAACCAGGTTTAAATCAGGACTAAACCATGTCTAAACCAGGACTAAACCAGGAATAAACTAGGACTAAACCAGGTCTAAACAATATGACACAAACAGTAGGTGGACATACTCATACATTTCTCATATAAAAATCATTTCTCTATCAATAATATTTTTAATTTGGTTAAGGAAAGATTAGACTTTATTTTCTTTTAGCAGATAAAACATCTTATGTTCAGATCTTCGTCTTTACTTCTCTACAGTAAACAAAAGTCTGTTCATGGAGACTTGGGCTCAACCATTTGAAGAGAACAAACAAGAATTTTCAGGATGTGTTTGGTACATTCATGTAGTTTTAAAAAGCATGACAATATCAAGTAATCTAAAGTATTCAGATTACACTACTCACTTTAAGTAATTTTATGGATTATGTTACAAACTACATTTTGGGGTATGTAATCTGTAATCTGTAGGGGAATACATTTTAAAAGTCACCTTCCCAACACTGTTCATTCATTTATTAATTTGCAGCTTGAGTTTCAGATATTTAAGGACACTTGAGGACTAATTTGGCTTTTTTTTTTATTTTACTTGCTGACATCATAAAAGTATAGGCTAAATTAAATATTCACCTTTTTTGGTAGATTACAATGTTGTTTTTAAGAGTATACTTGCCTTAAAGATACATTGTGTAACTTTTCTGGTAGAGGGTCTGTCACATGTTTTTTTGTTTCTATGGAGATGTCATTGCTCTGCCTGGAATGTTCAAATCAAATCAAACTCGATTTATAAAGCACTTTTCAAACAAAATGTAACACAAAGTGCTTTACAGTGATTCAAAATAATCCCACATGTCCGTCCACCCACCAACCCAATACCCACACAACCAGACAACCCAGACACGCACACACACACACACACGCACAAAATACATAAAACCGGACATAAGATGTGAGGCTGAATACAGGTGAACCAGTTGAGAAAGCACCATCAGAGGAGCCGTCTACACCAGGAGCAGAGAGACGTCCACCACCACCAGGAACCACCACAGGATCCAAGGGAGAGATGAAGCCCAAACACCATCCCTCCACCAGGAGCCCACAGGACAGACCCCGACAGCCACAGTCAACCTCCGCTCCTGATGCAGAGGCTCCTACAGAGGAAACACTGGAAATCCTAAAAATAAGCCTAAAATAAATATAATAGAATGTGCACAATAAGAACAAGTAAGAGTATAAGATTTCAATCAAAAGCTAAGCTAAAAAGGTGGGTCTTGAGCCTGTTCTTAAAAATATGAACGTTCTCTTTGGCCCTGAGCTCCTCTGGCTGCAGTTCCATAGACGAGGGCCATAATACTGGAAAGACGCCTCCTCTCCGTGAGTGTGTGTCCTGACTTTGGGAATGAGCAGGAGCTGCTACTAGAGGAGCGCAGGGTCTGCGAGGGCTCGTAGGGTAAAAGCAGTTCTGAAAGATAAGAAGGCCCAAGACCATTAAGACATTTAAAATCCATACTGTTCCACAGCTTTAATCAGCTTTAAATCATCTTTTATTCACTGACGGTTTTATTGCTCAAAAATACAGGGTGTCCCAAAAAATGTGACATCATTTTGCAAGTATAGTGAGACCATCGTCATCATAAGAGAAGATTGAGCAAGTTTATGAAAAACTCTCATGAAGCCCCAAGAGGTGTGGAAGGACAAACCCAGATTCCTTGAATGACGATTTGGAGAACCAGATCCTTTAACCCTCCATAAGCAGATGAACTCTTTACATTTTTGGTTCCAAGTCCAAATTTGTTTTGCCAGTTGGTGAAGTTTTTCCAGATGTTGTATTGAAGCTGCACAGTGTTGGGTGAGTGTGTGCAGCAGATTCCAAGACACAAAATGACTTCTTTTTGGGAGTGAACGACTCAACCTGAAAACAGAACAAAAATAAAACATTCAATATAAAATCTTGATCTGTTTCTATACATTCTATAAAATTATTGGCCTGCGAAATGTCAATTGTTTTGGGACACGCTGTACTTAAAAACAGACATTCTGACTGTGAGCAGGGTCGCCTCACCACAGATCTGACTTGTAACTTGATTTGGTTTGGTTTGGTCCATGATGATAGAAAGGTTTAATGCCATACTGTAAAACATTCCAGACAAAGCAATAACATCTCTCTTGACGGACCCTTTGTTCTGACCCAGCTCGTTTGGGGTGAGGTAACAAAAATAAAACCAAGATGTAAAATGGAATAAATTAAATAATGTTTAATTAACAGGGGTGTAAAATGTAAATTAACAAAAGAGACTAAAATACACAGAAAATAACCTAAACTAAGAAACAAAACTGCAGACAACGTGTTTTGTGCCACAAAAGGTGTCACACAGGCGCACATAATAACCAGTGGTAAAAATCAAGGGACACACAGGAAACTAAACAAGTTCCCCAAATTAAACCACATAAGCCCACAAACAGAATCAAGTGACCAAATCAAAAAAGGCACAAAACAGAACTAAACTAAACTATACACACACGAAACAAAATGGCAGACTGGCCACCAAGGCCAGCAGCCCCGAACAGGTGCTGGTCATCTCCTTAAATAGGGGGCGGTGGCTGCAGGTGAGGTGGGCGTCGACCTGCCCCACCAATCACGGACCAGGGCTCCTGCAGCAGGAATGAAGAGAACTTGGCAAAAATCACACAAACAAATTAGAACCAAGGCCTGGGGCCGTAACACCCCGCACTAGAAAAGTTGCACAATGTGTCTTTAAATATAGATTGGGCAGTAACTTTTTGCCTACTTGAGTAACTTTTTACAGAAATTGTACTTTTCAAATGACTTCTACCAGCACTTTTACTCCTACTCAGTAATATAATATCCAGTCATAAATTGTCCTGTTGAGCACAGTTCCTCTTGGTCACGCTAAGAAACAAAAGCTTTATGTTGACAATATGAAATGATCTGAACATTTGTTTCTTGCACTTCTCCTTCAGACAGGCCTGTATCAGTTAGGTCGAGTTTTTCTCATTTCTGTGTCTATCCTGAAGATATCACATTTCATTTAATGTTTTCTCCTTCAAATGTATTGAATTCATTTATAAAAGGGAAGCACCTTGAGATGTAGCACCTCATTTGTGAAGGATCCTAAATACATGAACAAAAACTGAATTTATAGAAAAAGAAAAAGAAATCAAAACAGAACAAAAGACAAACACACAGACATACATACACACACACACACACACACACACACAGACAGAGACACACACAGACAGAGACAACACACACAGACAGAGACACACACAGACAGACATACACGCACACAGACAACATACACCACACACACACACACACACACAGACTACACACAGAACAAAAAAGTGTTTTTATGGAAAACAGGAGCAGGATGTTTGTAAGTTTCTGAAGACTGATGCTTTAAAATGGTGGATCGATGTGATTGATCAGACTGAGGAGGGCAAGTTGTTCCGTTCATTTGGGGCTTTAAAGTGAAATCCTCTGCGGCCAATTTCTTTTTTATTATAGGAACATTCAAAAATAGTTGTTCAGTTGTTCATTTATGTCACACTGATCTAAATGGAATCAAAAACTCTTAAGTAGGGTGGGAAATTAATAACATTTAAACACAAATTGCAAAAAGTGTAACTGTGTTCTGGATATAAGAGTCAGCCAAGTGATGAATACATTTGACAGTGGTGTGTTCTATAGGGACGTCTTAATATAAACCTACATATACTGTCAAACAGCGATGCCACTAACGCGCTACTTAGTTACTGTAGTCCGATTACTTTTTTCAGTAACAAGTCATCTAACGCAGTGCTAGTTCCAAACCAGTAGTCAGATTTAAGTTACTTATCTAATACACTGTGCATTACCATTTTTGCGTTTCAGGGCAACATAGGTTATTTATTTTTATTTTTTGGTGACGTGGGTTATGTGACCCCAAAGATTGTATAAATCGTCCCTGGTGAATCGTTTCCTATGATGTTACGTCATCTCTACTCTGCCACGAGTCAGATGTAAACAAAGGAGGGAGAGGTTTGACTTTTACAGCCAGAAATACAAACATTTTAATTTTATTTCAGCCAAGGATGACAACATAAAGGTTCATTGTTCAGTCTGTGCTGGAGACAAAGTGCTGTCTGCCTTCAAGAAGGGGGTGGAGGATCAGTTGCTGCTGAAACTAACTAATAAAGTAACTTGTAATCTAACCAAGTTACTTTTAAAAGAAGTAATCAGTAGTCAGAATACTATTTTAAAGTAACTATGGCAACATTGGTTATAAATGACATCCAACAATCAAGGTTAAATGCTGAGGTGTTCCAAGAAATTATGTCTAGTATTAGTATAGTATCTAGTATTAGTATAGTCGAGTATTGGTAGTATTGGTAGAAGTAACTGTGAGGCAATTCTTTTTTGACAGATAAAGTCAAAGTGAATGTTTAAGTATCCTCAGCTGATTAGAAACTTTTATAACTGAATCTATGGGAGTTAAAATTAAGTTGAGTCTAAAACAAGACCAAGATATTTAAACTGGTCAACTTTTACCATTGGGTTTCATCCAGTAACTTTTCCTTCATGTTCATCATCATCTGTGCTGCATATAGGCCTAAATAAATCATTTATCATTTCTCGATCTACTTCTTGATCAGATAAAATAGTTCCACATTACAGGTCGTTGTTACAGGTCCTTGTTTTGGACAGGTTGGTCTTATTACTGGTGTGGAAAAACTGTCTGATGCACCGCCACCAATGCCCAGTGCCAGTTCAGCAGATTGGGCAACATTTCTGAATGTTATGAAGTTTATAATTTTACTCTCCGGTGAGCCGTAGATGTGGCAAATGTAAGGTGAGGTAATTCCAGTTCTGTTACTATGCAACCATAACCACATAAACCACATTATGATTAGACTAATACAAATATGACACTTTTTTTTTTTTTATTAATGTTTAATCCGGTAAATGTACCATACTTCCTGCTGGGCGGGGGTATAAAAGCAAAGCAGGTGTCATCAGTTGGGGAGACACTTCTGTGCAGATTGTTAGGGGTTTTTTTGGATTTGAGTTACTTATTTTATGTTATTTCTACTTTTGTTGGTGAACTCCAGAAGTCTGTTTTTCAAATAAATTTGGTCTGGGTTCTAGACACTTTTATTGCATCTGCCTCCTACTTTGACCACTTTGGCCAGCTTCCCCACATCTCTTTTTATACTATGTATTTTAAACACTATATATCTTTCTATGTATTGGTTGTTGAGATTTGTACTATTTATATCTTGTATTATATTTGAACTTGAACAGCTTGTAACTCAAATCTGTTCAGCCTACATGTCCCATCATGCACCAGGGGACTGAACATGTGACCTACACCTATGACTTTAAATGTGCACTGTGATATTCATCTGGAGTTTGCCCCGATGAAGTCGAAGTGCCAAACATGTTGGTGTGATTAACTTTATCTGCCATGTGGTGTTAAAGGATTTTCATTATTTTGTACTTTTTTGTATATCCAAGTAGCACTCCTGACCCTGAAGCTTTGAAGAGCCAGGTTTGTGGTGATGCAAGCTCCCTCAGAATAAGGACACATGCTTTTAGGCAAAAAAAAAAAATTGGGGCTTTAACTGATGTAAAACTATCATATTTACAACATGTACTATTTTAACAAACCAAGTCAATGCCTGCCTACTTTAAAAAGGTCCTATGTTGTTTATATCTCAAAAGCCCTGAACGCTCTGATCCACCTTGTGATGTCATGTCTCCTTTTACCTTTAGTTCAGTAGAGATCAGCAGTTCCAGGGCTGAAATGATCCAAATTATTCTATTGACAGTGAATGGAGTTTAAAAACACAGTAGAGCACTTCTTGTATTGTCTTTATTAGGCATTAACTTGAAAACTACTGCTTCATGACATCACAAGGTGGAACAGTGTGTTTTCTTTCTGAGAAGAACTTAATGTGTTGAATGAATCAAAACTAGGGTGAGTAGACAGCCCTGTTTACTCGGGACAGTTCCAGTTTTGAGCCTGTGTCCCCTGTCCCTGCAGATTTATACAAAACCACTGATTTGTTGCAGTTTCATACAACAAATGTCCCAGGTGTCCCTATTTTTGACCAATCTGATCCCTGCTGACAGTAAAGAGAAGCATACATTGTAATTTGTTTTGGTAAAATACAGAAAAGCTGCTTAAAAACGACCAAAAGAAAATGTGACTATACTGACTCACAGGTTCGTCATGAATAGTCTCTGCATAACAGTTTTTCTTACATGCTTATTTCACAATTTTATTACCAACCACCAAAAAAGACTGGTATGTCCCAGTTTTTTATTTTGAAATTCTGGACACCTTAAACTAATCGCATCTCGGGGTATGTTTTTTGTTAGATACCAACGTTATACATACTACCATTTTCTGATTTATGTAATGTTTGCTCTTGAAGGAGATTTGTGTGAAAAGTGACAGGTTTGGAAAAGCGTGGTCATTTGACACGTGTAGAAAGTGAGACAAAGCTGCACACTTACTCCCAAACTGTTCTGAATGAACGTTAGGATCAGTGGATCTTGGTCAGGGCATGGTTCTCTGTGTGTTGCTCCCATATAAACCTTCTGCCCACTGATCGTTTGTACAATCCAAAAGTGAGTCACAGATGTCATCCACACAACACAATATATAACACCACTGTACATCATGTAACATGAGCCATTACACAAGCCCAATCAATCATGTTACCAATGGACAAGTCAATTACATTAGAAATAAATATGACATTGTAAGTAGTGTTTCATGTTGATTCAGGCCACTAGGGGCCAGTGTTTTTAAGGAATAAATATCAGAACTTTGTAGGAGCAGTCTGTTAATATCTCCTCTCCTCTTCTTGGGAGATTCACCTGCTCTGTCCCAGTATATTTAAGGGAGGAGATAGAGCTGTGCTTCTTTAAAATGAGCAGATACAGTTTTCTTTTTTTATATTCAATATGGTCAAATACAAGAAAATCAAAGACACACAAAAACACAAACGCATGCACTACCTGGGCTGATGTGCAGTCAATTAGACAAGACCGCAAAACAACAAGCAAAACAAGACCAAAAGCCAAGTATACTTAACCAAAACAAACTAAATGTAGGGAGAGTGATACTGTCACAATATCTATAGGAAATACTTGTTTTAAGAGTTTTGTTTTTGACCTGTTTCATTGTTTGGAAATAGTTGTATTTCATTATTATTATTAATACATGTGATTGTGATGCATATATATATATATTATATAATTTATTTTTTTTAGATGCTACTCCAGTGCACTCTCCTCTATTGCACAAACTATAGCAAGTACTACAGCAAGTACTACACTAGCTCTACAGATAAAAGGAATTCATGGGCAAACTCTGAGATCAGACTTTGCGAGACAGTTCCTATGGACTTAAAAGAATCGAGAGAATTTAAGAATATCAAGAGAATTTGAGAGCAGAAACAAACAGCAGCTCCACACACACCATCAAACGCCACCACGCCCAAACATACACCACCCAGAGCTTTTACCTGGATTCTAGGAGAGTACCCTACATGGAGCCGGGAGCGCGTAAGGAGCAGCCGCCGTCACCACCGCCCGCTCCAGACAACACCTTTAAACGTAGTCATCAGAAACAACGCATTAAAACAAGTTCTAAGAGAAATATTGAAAAAGAAACAACTCCGGTACTTACACACGCCGCGTTCACAAACCACCGATAGCCCCGACTGCCTCCCCACGGCGCGCGCAGCCTTTTCAAATCGCTAATCAGTGACGCCGGGAGCCACGCACAGAGACGCACAGGCGGACGCATTCACGGACTCACTACGGTCGGACAAAAACAACTAGCACCCGCTAACCACCCGGTAACATGCAGTATTGGGAAGGTGACTTTTAAAATGTATTCCCCTACAGATTACAGATTACATACCCCAAAATGTAGTTTGTAACGGAATCCATTAAGTTACTTAAAGTGAGTAATGTAATCTGAATACTTCGGATTACTTGATTTGCTGTAGAGAAGCAAAGACGAGGAAATCTTAACATAACAAGTTTTGTTAGATAAAAGAAAATAAAGAGCCCAGACTTTACTGAACCAAATTAATAATAATTAAATAATTAATATTATTGATAGAAGACGAGGAGATACAGTCCACGCAGCATGATTTAGTCCTGTTCAATTCTGTTTTAGACCTGGTTTAGTCCTGGTTTTAGACCTGGTTTAAGACCTGGTTTGGACCTGGTTTTAGACCTGGTTTAGACCTGGTTTGGACCTGGTTTAGACCTGGTTTAGACCTGGTTTGGACCTGGTTTAGACCTGGTTTTAGACCTGGTTTGGACCTGGTTTAGACCTGGTTTTAGACCTGGTTTGGACCTGGTTTGGACCTGGTTTAGACCTGGTTTTAGACCTGGTTTTAGACCTGGTTTGGACCTGGTTTAGACCTGGTTTAGACCTGGTTTAGACCTGGTTTTAGACCTGGTTTGGACCTGGTTTAGACCTGGTTTTAGACCTGGTTTTGGACCTGGTTTGGACCTGGTTTAGTGTCTGGCAATGAGTGGAATTACAGAAAAAAAAAAAGAAGAGATATAGCCCAAAATGTGAAAACAGGAAAATACCGCTGTGTAATCCATTTATTTCAACAAAGTAACTGTAATCCAATTACCACTCTTTGAAACAGCTGTAACCAAATACAGTTAGTCATAATTTGTACTCTGATTACGTAACTCCGGTACATGTAATCTGTTACTCCCCAACACTGGTAACATGTGTATATGATATTTGGCAGCATGATCAGTCTGAATGAGAAAACAGATTTTTAGGAATAGAGGGACTGTTGAAAAAAATGTCTTAATGGATATTTGACTCTTTAGTGCTCTAGATGTTTTCCTACAAAACCAAGTCCACAGGGGCATTTCAAAAGGTAAATGACATTTTTTAGTGGAGCGTTTAATTGTCTCTTTGATTTTCATCATCTTTCCTGTGGTTGGGTGTGTAGAAGTTTTACATTTATATATATATTTATATATGAGCCACAGTGATAATTCTAAGCAGTTTGGGGGTAATTTTATGAAATAATGTGAGGCAAAACCAGAGCTCACTGGTGGTGCAGGGATTTAAGCAGTAGTAGTAGTAATAGTAGACATAGTAGTAGTAGTAATAGTAGACGTAGTAGTAGTAGTGGTAGTACTAGTAATAGTAGTGGTAGTAATAGCAGACGTAGTAGTAGTAGTAGTAGTAGTAGTAGTAATAGTAGTAGTAATAGCAGAGTAGTAGTAGTAGTAGTAGTAGTAGTAGTAGAAGTAGTAGTAATAGTAGACGTAGTAGTAGCAGTAGTACTAGTAATAGTAGATGTAGTAGTAGTTGTAGTAGTAGTAATAGTACACAGTAGTAGTAGTAGTAATAGTAGTAGACATAGTAGTAGTAGTAATAGTAGTAGTAGTTAGTAGTAGTAGTAGTAGTAGTAATAGTAGTTGTAGTAGTAGTAGTAATAGTAGTGTAGTAATAGTAGACGTAGTAGTAGTAGTAGTAGTAGTAAGTAGTAGTAATAGTAGTAGTAGTAGTAGTAGTAGTAGTAATAGTAGACGTAGTAGTAGTAGTAGTAGTAGTAGTAGTAGTAGTAGTAGTAATAGTAGAGTAGACATAGTAGTAGTAGTAGTAGTAATAGTAGACGCAGTAGTAGTAGTAAGAGTAGATGTAGTAGTAGTTGTAGTAGTAGTAGTGGCAGTAGTAGTAATAGTAGTGGTAGTAGTAGTAGTAGTAATAGTAGACATAGTAGTAGTAATAGTAGATGTAGTAGTAGTAGTAATACTAGACGTAGCAGTAGTACTAGTAATAGTAGACGTAGTAGTAGTAGTAGTAATAGTACACGTAGTAGTAGTAGTAGTAATAGTAGTAGACGTAGTAGTAGCAGTAGTAATAGTAGATGCAGTAGTAGTAGTAATAGTAGATGTAGTAGTAGTTGTAGTCAAGAGTATTTTGGGGTATATTTTCACAAATTATTTTGTTACAGAGCTACAGTTTTGTTGCTTGTTCAGAGGAAAGAATCTTTTTTTATGCAACACATTTGACATTTTCACTGTTTTGATGATTTAAATGGGCATTTTTCAGATGAACTTTGCACAAGAAGTGGTTTAACAAACTTTTAGTATCAGAGCCATGATTTAGTTTTTGTTTTTATTGAACCGTATCGAATTGATTTGAAATATATCGTATCGAATCGAAAGTGCACTGTATCGAGATAAGTATCGTATCGTGGCCTATGTACTGAGGTATCTATCATATTGGCAACTTCTTAATGATACCCAGCCCTATTGATGACATATCAATACAGCAAACCACGATATCAATACTGTATCATCACATTAAACAATATGATATATCGATATGTTTGCACACCCCTATAGTAGTAGTAGTAGTTGTAGTAAGTAGTAGTAGTAGTAGTAGTAGTAGTAGTAGTGGTGGTAGTAGTGGTGGTAGTAGTGGTGGTAGTAGTGGTGGTAGTAGTAGTGGTAGTGGTAGTGGTAGTGGTAGTGGTAGTAGTAGTGTAGTAGTAGTAGTAGTAGTAGTGGTAGTAGTAGTAGTATAGTAGTAGTAGTAGTAGTAGTAGTAGTAGTAGTAGTAGTAGTAGTAGTAGTAGTAGTAGCATAGGGCTGGATATCATTAAGAAAACTGCCAATACGATACATATCTTAATACATCGGGCAGGATTCGATACATACATTCGATACATACAGTGCACATTCATTTCCATACGATATATTTCAGAATGATTCGATACGGTTCAATAAATAAACACACTCCTATAGTAGTAGTAGTAGTAGTAGATTTTCTTGAGTTATGTACTTAATAATCATGTACATAATAGACTGTTACAAACATTTCACATAAAACTATAACCAAATGTGTTTAGGCTCAAGTAAAAATACTTGAATGCTTCACCGTCTTTACAAAAACACGATGTCTGGATGTTCTGCTACATCACCAAGTCCACAGGGGCATTTTAAAAAGGTAAATGACATTTTTGGCACGCGTCTCCATGGCGACGTCCTCGGGAAACCACGCCCCCCGAGCGGACGAAATGCCCAGACTGTATGTGTCCGCTGTTCTAGCTCACTCCCCCCCGTCCCTGTGTCCCTCTCTTCTCTCTTCTCTGTCAGATTAGACTTAATCCTGGAGGAGGGCTGTCAAGACGCTGCCCGCAGCCGCATCTTGGCGCGGACTCTCCGGCTTCACCCCCGCGGCCACACACGGCGGATCTTTCACGGACTTTTCGCGTTTTTGCACAGAACATGATCCACAAGTCTCGCTCTGCAGACGCCGCTCGCTCTCCAATTTGCCAAAACATGTTAGCCGGCTAACTAGCTGCATAAGAGTTAGTAAATCGGATTATCCGCAAACGACATCCTCCCACGGGGTAATAGGCAGGTATTATTCGCTTTTCTACATCTATTTCCAAACTTGACGCCTGTTCTCCTCGTGTGAGCACAGCGACACCCGTGCGTTCCGTTTAACGCCACATCTGAGAGCAGTTTCTCGTGTTGTGCCTCGGACGCTAATCTTCGCTTTTTCTTGGACGCGCTAAGTGGAAAAAACTGTGCCCCCCGAAAACCAACCCGGAGCTGAGATCGACCCGATGCGGTAGCAAGAGCCCACAGCGACCGAAGGAGCCCGCAAGAAAGAAGCAGATCTGCACCGAGAAGAAATCAGCCCGAGCATAAAGGAGCCAAGATGTCAGGGAAGGATAAAGACAAGCAGGAGAAGCAGTCCACCACGGAGCGCCTCGTCAAAGGTACCAGCAGGCTTCCATACAACGCACTTTACGTCATTTTCCATTGATGGATGGCGTTTTGTCTTTTGTTTTTTCTTTTGTTGTGTGTAAGAACCACTTGTAGCTCCCTGCATTGACTTTCCCTGACCCCCCCGGCTTGTTGGGACTCTTGCAGGGCTTAGCCAGTGCTATAATTGAGTCAAGGATAATTTGTGTTTAAAGCCAGAGCAGGCAAACTAAGGCAAGGTTAGAAGAGCATGACTAGGGTGACCAGAAGAAAAAACTGGGACATCCCCGGTTAATGGTGGTTGGTAATAATAAAACAGTGAAACGAGTGCGTAATTAAGGAAAATCGTTATGCAGAGACCATTTGAGTGAGCCAGAATAGACACTTTTTCTGTTTTTAAACTGATTTTTTAGTATTTTACCAAAACAAATGACAATGTATGTCTCTCTTTACTGTTGGCGGGGATTGGTCAAAAATAGGGACGCCAAGGACATTTCTTGTATTAAACTGGGACAAATCAGTGTTTTTTAGGGATGTAACAATATCCAAATCTTTCTGTAGGATATTATCAAGATTTTCATTTCACGGTACGATATTTATTGCGATATTTTGAAGAGGCTGATATAATTGTAGATGAGACACATTTTTGCTTTTAAAATACCCTGACAAGATTTTGGTGTGAATTATTTCTGTCATAATCCCAAGAATTCAAGTCAAAAACATATTTCTGCACTGACATGAATCATGGGATATGTAGTTCCCTATGTTTTTAAGACGTTGCTTCTATAGAACCATGAAGAAACTTATAATTTGAAATATTGTGAGACTTTTGACAATACGATATCACAATATTTTGGAAACATGTTACATCCCTAGTTGATATAAAAAAAAAAAGAGAAACTAGTGCGTAATTAAGCAAAATCGTTATGACGAACATGTGAGTCAGAATAGTCACATTTTCTAGTTTTAAACAGATTTTTTTGTATTTTACCAAAACAAATGACAATGTATGTCTGTCTTTACTGTTGGCGGGGATCAGATTGGTCAAAAATAGGGACACCAAGGACATTTCTTGTATAAAACTGGGACAAATCACTGGTTTTTAGGGATGTAACAATATCCAAATCTTTCTGTAGGATATTATCAAGATTTTCATTTCACGGTACGATATTTATTGCGATATTTTGAAGAGGCTGATATAATTGTAGATGAGACAGTTTTTTGCTTTTAAAATACCCTGACAAGATTTTGGTGTGAATAATTTCTGTCATAATCCGAAGAATTCAAGTCAAAAACATATTTCTGCACTGAAGTGAATCATGGGATATGTAGTTTCTGGTGTTTATAAGATGTTGCTTCGATAGAACCATGCATTTAAGCAAAGAAACTTGTAATTCGATATATTGTGAGACTTTTGACAATACGATTTCACGATATCACGAATATCGTTACATCCCTAATTGATAATAATAAAATAGTGAAATGAGTGCATAATTAAGCAAAATCGTTATGCAGAGACCATTTATGACGAACATGTGAGTCAGAATAGTCACATTTTCCATTTTTAAACAGATTTTTTTGTATTTTACCTAAACAAATGACAACGTATGCCTCTCTTTACTGTTGGCGGGGATCAGATTGGTCAAAAATAGGGACACCAGGGACATTTCTTGTATAAAACTGAGACAAATCACTGGTTTTTAGGGATGTAACAATATCCAAATCTCTTGGTTCGAGTACAATATTTATTGTGATATTTTGGCGAGGCTGATAGAATTGTAGATGGGACACTTTTTTGCTTTTAAAATACCCTGACAGATTTTGGTGTGAATTATTTACATCATAATCCCAAGAATTCAAGTCAAAAACATATTTCTGCACTGACATGAATGATGGGATATGTAGTTTCTGGTGTTTATAAAATGTTGCGTCAATAGAACCATGCATTTAAGCAAAGAAACTTGTAATTCAATATATTGTGAGACTTTTGACGATACGATATCACAATATTTCAATATTGTTACATTGTTGATATAAATAAAATAGTGAAACGAGTACGTAATTAAGCAAAATTGTTATGCAGAGACCATGTATGATGAACATGAGCCAGAATGGTCACATTTTCTGTTTTAAAACAGATTTTTTTGTATTTTACCAAAACAAATGACAATGTATGTCTGTCTTTACTGTTGGCGGGGATCAGATTGATCAAAAATAGGGACAGCAGGGAACATTTCTTGTATAAAACTGGGACAAATCACTGTTTTTTAGGGATACAACAATATCCAAATCTCTCGATACGATATTATCAAGATTTTCACTTCATAGTACGATAATTTATTGCAATATTTTGGTGAGGCTAATAGAACTGTAGATGAGACAGTTTTTTGCTTTTAAAATACCCTGACAAGATTTTGGTGTGAATAATTTCTGTCATAATCCCAAGAATTCAAGTCAAAAACATATTTCTTCATGTTGTCTGAGCTGAAATGAATCATGGGATATGTAGTTCCTGATGTTTATAACATAATGGGTGCGATGTTGGTCTTAATTTTCGTTTAAGTGATTTAAGGGGTCTTAAAAAGGTCTTAAATTTGGGGTAGTCAAACCCGGGGATACCCTGATACAGGACCTTTAATCATTGCATTCATTTTTTTTAGTGCAACAAGTGAATTATTTGCAAGACTTATATAAAAATGTACCTTAATGCAAACAAATGTCTTACGTGCATCAGTATAAATATATGGCAGCTCAAAATATATATTACTGAAAGGTGCATTGTGTAACTTCTCTGGTGGAGGGTTTGTCAAATGCTTTTCTTCATGGAGATGTTATTGTTTTGTCTGGAATGTTTCACAGTATGGCATTAAACCTTTCTATCTTCATGGAGACCAAACCAGACCAAGTTACAGGTTAAATCTGTGGAGAGGCGACTCCGCTCAGTCAGAATGTCTGTTTTTCAGTATTTTTTATTTTTTGCTATAAAACCATCTGTAATTGAATAAATGTAAAGTAGAGCTGTTTAACGTCACACTGTGGAACATTCCAGAAAGACTGATGACCCCTAACCAAAAAGTTACACAGTGCAGCTTTATAAAACATGAGCTGCAGTAAATAAAAAGCAGAATGAAACACTTTAGTATTAGTTTGCATCTGTAATGAGTCATTGAAGTTATTAATACAATCTTTTACGGCTTAAATCTTATCATGTAACCTAAAAAAAAATAACACAAAAATACTCAGTAGTGTAAAGAAAAAGTCCACATGAATAAATATTGTCCCCAAAAAATATCGTTCCTGTTTTTCTATACTGAAGGATTGTGGTCGTAATTACTGTGACAGGCTTGTTGTAGGTGCATCAAGATGTGAATAATGTTGATAGTTTTGGAGATGTTGCAAAATTATAATATTTTAGTCCTGGTTTAGTTCTGGTTTAGACCTGATTTAGACCTGGTTTAAACTTGGCTTGGACCTGGTTTAGCCTTGCTTCAGTCCTAGACCTGTTTTAGTCCTGGTTTAGATCTGGTTTAAACCTGGTTAGACCTGGATGGACCCAGTTTAGTCCTGGTTCTGTCCTTGACCTGGTTTAGTCCTGGTTTATAGCTGGTTTAAGCCTGGCTTGGACCTGGTTTAGTCCTGATTTAGACCTGGTTTAGTCCTGGTTTAGATCTGGTTTAAACCTGGTTAGACCTGGCTTGGACCCAGTTAATCCTGATTCAGTCCTTGACCTGGTTTAGTCCTGATTTAGACCTGCTTTAGACCTGGCTTGGACTTGGTTTAGTCCTGATTCAGTCCCAGACCTGGTTTAGACCTGGGTTGGACCTGGTTTAAACCTGGTTTAGTCCTGGTTCAGTCCTAGACCTGGTTTAGACCTGGTTTAGACTTGGTTTAGACTTGCTTTAGACCTGGTTTACACCTGGTTTACACCTGGTTTAGACCTGGTTTAGTCCTGGTTTAGACCTGGTTTATATCTGGGTTAGACCTGGTTTAAACCTGGTTTAGACCTGGTTTAGTCCTAGTTTAGATCTGGTTTAGACCTGATTTAGACCTGGGTTAGACCTAGTTTAAACCTGGCTTGGACCTGGTTTAGTCCAGGTTCAGTCCTAGACCTGGTTTAGACCTGGTTTAGACCTGGTTTAGACCTGGTTTAGACCTGGTTCAGTCCTAGACCTGCTTTAGTCTTGATTTAGATCTGGTTTAGTCCTGCCTTGTTTTGTCGAAAATGATGAAAACAAAACAAATTTTAACATTGAAATAAATGAAAGCGCAGGTTTTTACCGCCTTAAAAAGATGAAAACCAAAACTGGATCATTTGAACTTGTTTGCAGAAGTAGAAACTTCAACGCATCCTCAACAAAACTGACTCAAATATGTACTAGTATCGAAAAATATATTGTATCGTGGCCTATGTATCGAGATATGTCAAGTACTACTACACAATGCACCTTTTAAATTTAAAATGTAGCTGTTAAAATGAAAACTACCGCTTCTTTACATCACAAGGTGGAACCATTTTGTGTAATATAGGACCTTTAAGTCATTTTAACTGTCAATATTCAACTTCCACTGTATATTGTGATGTTCTGGGAGATTTTTGTCTTTAAATAATTTTCCTTTTTAGCATTTATAGTTCAGCTTCAGCACTTTCTATTCTATTTTCTTCACTTGGACATATAAACCTTCAATTACATCTATCCATTTACACTTCGCTTTTTCCCCTGCATTGTCCAGGGCATGAGAGCACCAGCACAGCTCCATTTGTGTCCGGCCTGGTGACATTTAGGGCAGATGAAATCCTAATTGCCCCACACGAATACACAAGGACTACTCGGGTTACGGGCTGTGACAAGATGGACTCCTTCACACTCTATTGTTGGCCACAGTTGTTGGGCTTGCATAAATCATTGCGATACATACAGCTCCCAACTAACTCTGGCCTTAAAGGAGCAGTGCACACGTGGACACTGCTGAAAGAGTCTGTTCCTCATTTATTTTTGTGTCAATCTGCAACCTG